CATCTTTTTTAAGCTTATTTTTTATTTTTAAATGTTTTTTTTTTCATTTTTTAAAATTTGTTTGTGCGTTTTTCGCACTTTAGTTCCCAGTTAGTAATTTTTTTTACATATATTCCTTTTTTTATTTTTTTATTAATGGTTAAAATATTTTTTTAAATATGTCTCAACTTAATTATTTTTTTATATAATTTCTATTATATCAAAAACTATTTTTATACATATTTTTTTAAAACAAATTTAAAAATCTTTAATTAGCTATATAGATGAATTTTTCATTATTTGATAAATAAAAAACTCTTACAGCTAAACATACTTGTAAAAGAAAAAACTAGAGAGAAAAATAAGCCATATCAAGATTTAAATAAGAATTAATAGGCTGATATTTAAAGGACTTGTTCGTTTACACTCAAACTCAAAAAAAAAGTTTAAACTCAAGTTACAACTTTATTTAAGTTCATGTTCTTTTGTAAAATTTGTGTTTAGGGTTAAAATCTATGTTTAAATTTTCCTTTCAACTCAAGTTCCTAAACTAGTTAAGAACATTATTTTTTATATTATTAAAAATGCTATAACTTTTTCGTTTAAATTCTAATTGAGATGATTCTTTTTCTTTTGTGTTCACAACGAAAAGATGAATAAAACCTCACCCATATATTCTATTAAAATTTTCTATTATTATTGATTTTTTTATTAAAATACTATCTAAATACAAACTCAAGTTTTGACTCACTCAAACACAAATTCAAAAAGATTCTTATTTCAAACCATAACTCAAATGTACATAACCAAACACAAACTTAAGTTATAACTTTAACTCAAGTTATAACTAAAATTTAACTCAAAATCTACACTTAAATTACCATAATTCAAAAATGTAACTGAATAAGCCCAAAATTGTTAGTAAATAGGCCATTATATTGAGTTGTTCTTTTGCATTTTTAAGTTAGGGTGACTTGAGTAATGATCTTGAGTTGAGTTTGAGTTATAACTTGAGTTGAAGTTGTAACTTGAGTTTGTGTTTGGATGTACACATTTGAGTTATGATTTGAATTGAGAAACTTTTTGAATTTGTGTTTGGGTGAGTCAAAACTTAAATTTATATTTCGATAGTATTTTAATAAAAACTCAATGGTGATGAAAAATTTTAATAGGGTATATGGGTAAGGTTTTATTCGTCTTTTCATTGTGAATGCATGTCACGCCCCTAAACCGGGGTTGGTGACGTGGAGGCTCGTTTAGAAACTTAAACCTGTTTGAGAGAGTGATTAGCAAAATAATTTAATTCCTTTCAAATCTAAAACATTCAGGTATTTCCAAACGAGCCCCTGCAATTAAAATTTTCTATTATTATTGATTTTTTTATTAAAATACTATCTAAATACAAACTCAAGTTTTGACTCACTCAAACACAAATTCAAAAAGATTCTTATTTCAAACCATAACTCAAATGTACATAACCAAACACAAACTTAAGTTATAACTTTAACTCAAGTTATAACTAAAATTTAACTCAAAATCTACACTTAAATTACCATAATTCAAAAATGTAACTGAATAAGCCCAAAATTGTTAGTAAATAGGCCATTATATTGAGTTGTTCTTTTGCATTTTTAAGTTAGGGTGACTTGAGTAATGATCTTGAGTTGAGTTTGAGTTATAACTTGAGTTGAAGTTGTAACTTGAGTTTGTGTTTGGATGTACACATTTGAGTTATGATTTGAATTGAGAAACTTTTTGAATTTGTGTTTGGGTGAGTCAAAACTTAAATTTATATTTCGATAGTATTTTAATAAAAACTCAATGGTGATGAAAAATTTTAATAGGGTATATGGGTAAGGTTTTATTCGTCTTTTCATTGTGAATGCATAGAAAAAAAATCATCTCAATCAGAATTAAAACGAAAAAGTTATGGCATTTTTAAGAATAAAAAAAATACTGTTCATTAACTTGAGTTTGAGTTTACGAACTCGAATTGAAGGGGAAACTTGAGTTCCATTCATTTTATCGATTCGAGTTTTGCTATAGTAAGAGTCACATCTAACTTTTTTACTACAGTAAAAATCTCTAACATAAAATCACATATCAACTCGAATTAAAAACTCGAATCAGCGAATTAAACGGGAACTTGAACTCTAATTTAACCCTAAACTCGAGTTTAAACTCAAGTTCAAACTCAAATTTTACAAAAGAACATAGACTTAAATAAAATTATACGAGTTCAAACTTTTTATGAGTTTCGTTGCAAAAGAACAACCCCATTGTAAATCTGAATTTACACTCAACTAATGTTCCTACAAAGCCCCTAATAAAAAGCCATGTAGGAACTTTCTACATCTTCTTCCCCAGAAAACCCTAGCCCTCATTCTCTCTTCATCGCCTTCTTTCTCCTCCCTTCTCTCTTTGAAGAACACAACTGCACTTATTGTCACCAGTGCGGGGCCTCTCTAACGGCGATGATTGTCGAGAAATATCAATGGAACAATCGTCGTGAGATCTCCAGCGGGCTTCTGCTCTCGTTGTCGAAAAGAGTGGAGAATCGCGAAGAGAAATATAATAGCGAAATGTAATGCTGTCGCCAGAGAAATTAAGCGGCAGAGAGGGAAAGCTGTTGGAAGAGAGAGGGGGAGAGGAGGAGATAGAGTGACCGGAGATTGAGAGTATGAAACGGAGAGAGAGGATAGAGAGAGAAAATAATAAAAAAGGGTAAAATTATAAAATAAATGATTTAAAACTTAAAAACGCCTATTAATTTTTAATCTTTGATAAATGGGCTATTTAATTTCACAAGTTTTACATGGGGATCCCAAGAGGAGGTGGAAGTCCTCTTGTAGGATCATGGTAAGGCCCAAGTGTAGCCCAAAAGTGAAAATACAGAAAAGGAGAAGTAATTGGGTCTAGGCCTAACAACACGGATGAAATGAAAAAAAAGCCCAAGTGAGTCAATTGCTCTCAAGAGCTTTGCCTGATGAACCACCGGGTACTATTTCATTGTCCACCATTATTCTAGTTATTACCAATTCATATAAATTTATAACAATTTTATTTTGATCAAGATTTAAGTAAACTCATAAATGAAATTTGCAAGACAAAAATCAAAATCGTATGAACTCATTCCATGAGTTGGGACCCCCTTAACATAATGGTAAAAAGAAAAAAAAAAAGTTTGGCGCACTAGCATCATACTAATAAAAAGCGAATCCACAATATAAACCCATTTTCTATAACTATTAGTGTGCAGTGCTTATGCGTCCCCTTCTAATAGTGGTCAATATTTTTAAAAATAAAGTTAAGGAGACCAACTCAAATCTTAATTTTTACGTATAATTAATTTGATGTATGAATTGTTAATTTATATTGGTAAATATTTAAAATATTATCACGTCAATTAATGATAAAAAATTGTATCTATTAATAAAAAAATAACAACTTATATATCATATTAATTGATATATAAAGGTTGATATTTGAGTTAATGTATCTAAAATTACTCATTTAAAAAATACTTTGTGCCTCATTGGTGTTGACACTACATACTATAAATATAAGATATCATGTATTAATATTCATTAACATTGTTCTTTGGCTTAGTTTGGTATTACTTTTTCATCCCAAAATCAGTTTCTGCTTGTAGCAGAAGCTGATTTTAGTATTTGATAAATCTCATCAAAAACGCTTTTTGAATAATTTTTTAAGAATCTACAGCCAAAATCAGAAACAGTCTAAAGATAACTTTAGCTTTTAGATTATGCGGGAATCAACATAATACAATTAATGAAACTTTCATAATACCCATATTACCCCTAATTAAATTTAAAATTTACTAATATAATATATAATATTTCAATATAATATAATAATACAAGAATATGGTATAATAATATGATATAATATAACATAGTTGTAATATTTTAACAAATTATATCACAACTATACAAATAATTTTAATATAATTATTTTATTGCATAATGTTATATTATAATTATAGTATATAATATTAATATAATTATGTTCATTATATTAATAATAATATAATAATTAATATAATTAAATATTAATATAATCTTTTAATTTCAATATTATTATCTATTATATCTATTATAGTGTATTACACATGATTACATAATGTTTTAATTATAACATATTTATTGTATATAATATAATAATTATATATTATATTATAATTATATATATTATATTATAATATAATATAATATAGTTATAATTTTTAATTATTCACAGTAATTCAACCTCATAATTTACCAAACGCTATTATGCTGATTTTGAATCTAGCACAGCTACTACAATTATAGTTTACCAAACACTCAGTTGTTTTTTGTAATAACTGCTTCTTCCTTCAGCACAGCTAAAAATAATTTTTCTAAAATCTACAGTACTACCAAATTAAGCCTTCGTTCACTTCGCAGATTTGAGTTTTTAATTCGAGCTAAGATGTGATATTTTCTGAGAACTTTTCACTATAACTGAAAAAATTAGATGTGACATTTTCTGAGAGCTTTTAACTGTAGAAACCTAAAACTAAAAACTCAAATCTGTGAAATAAATGAGGCCTTTACGTTTCAAACAACCATCCCAGAACAAAACACGCTTATAGAAAGTAAGACCCCGTTCATTTTACTGATTCGAGTTTAGAATTCGAGTTTTACTGCAGTAAAAAGCTCTAAGAAACAATCACATCTAATTTTTTTTATTATAATAAAAAATTCTTATACAATAATACATCTGAATTTAAATTAAAAATTTAAATTAGCGAATTGAACGCCCTAAATCGTGGGATATATAAGTCAATATCTAGATTCTATTAGTCCCGTACTCAAGTTTTTTTTTTTTTTTTTTTTCAATACTTACTTCCCTGGGCAACAGCTCAGCATTGGATGGCCTGCCACGTCACTCTCCCAAAGAAATTGATGAAACCGAAACGTAACAAGAATTAAAACACGTTAATGTGACAGTTGAGCTCTCATTAAAAGCAGTCTCAGTGGAACAGTTCGTTCTGTCTCTGACCATCATCATCATCCATCTTCACCACCGCCCCCAACTGCTCTCTTTCCTCAATTTTCACAGCTCCATTCTTAAATCTCCCCACCAGCACAACCATGGCAAACGACGCCGCTTTGAGGTCGGCCTTGGTTTGGTTAGCTGGGGTGGTTTTGGTGGTGGGAATTTGCACTTTCTCCTTCAAGAAAATGCTGGCCACTTACGTTGTGGGAGTGGTCGGAATCTCTGGCGTCTTTTTGCCTGATTGGGGCTATTTTGACCGAGACTTCTCTCGCTGGACCAGTCCCGTTACTGCTGAGGAAAGGGCATCCCATATTGCTCAGAGATCTGGACCAACAAGGTTCATTTCATATACATATATATATATATATATGTGTGTGTGTGTGTGTGTGTGTGTGTATCTTTTTCACTACTTTATTTAATTATCTCTTCTCCTTTTGGTGATTCCTTTTTTCGGTTAGTACTTTTAATTTGATGAAACATGTCAGTTTTGTTCATGTATACGTACCAGGTGCTAGGAAGATTTAATTAATTCTGAGGATGTTTTTGTTGTCTGGTGCAGATTTAAGATCTACCCATTGAGATTTACTGCATATTCTATAGTTTATGGGTATGGCTTGTACAAGTGGTGGAAGTTTGTTTCGAGTTAGTGATCAACCAGCTTTAGCTGCCACTTGATTGTTTTCTCCAATAGAGTTTATGTGGGTACTTCCTCTGTTTGGTATGTTAATTATCATAAAAGTTTAGTTTAAGATTAATTATTTATATGAGTACTGTTAGAGACACCGGTTTCTCTTTGTAACTAACACCGGTTTAGCAAATACTTCTTGTTGATGGAAAAAATGATGCTACCAGGAAAAAAAAGGTCCATTTCAAGGGTGGAAAGGGAGGCTGAAAATCTAATTCAAATATTCTTTTTCTCTGTATGGCTAGTAACTGAATGCATGTACAACTTGCACAAAATTATAGATTTGTACATTTGTTTTCTATTGATATACCTCAGCGGGTTGAAGAATGAGTTCGGTTTGCGAAAAATGAATTTATGTTAGAAAAAAAAAATTAAATTTAAATTTTTGTAAGAATAAATATTTTGGAAAAAGTGTGACAAGAAGTTTGAGTTATGAGTTATGATTCCCTAGCTATTCTTTTTACCATTCAAAATTTTGCCCACCTTTTATTTTTTGTTACTTTCTGTACTTTTATTTATTTATTTATTTTTGCCACTGCCAGTTCATATCTAGTTTTCTATGTCCATTAAACTAAACCAATTATAGCAGTTAAATCTGAAACCAAAACTTTAGCAAACTATGTTCATTGAAAAAACAATGATTAACAGAAATAAACTTTTCAGGGGGAAAAAAAAAGTTTTTTGATAAACGGAAGCCGCGCATTAATCAAGAGATGTGCTTCGACACTCATTTAGTTGCTGAGAGTTCATGAAACTCCTAGTGTAGCTAGAATTATGTCTGATATTTATCCTCCAAGAAGTTACAAGGCCCACCCTCAATCAGTTGAGTCTCGAGTTGTTCGGTAATGTAGCTTAAGATTGCAGCTTCTTCTGTGCAGTAACGCGGGGGTTGTTCAACTTGTGGCGAAGTACTTATCCAGCAATTAGCGTTGATCAGCGCTGAGGACCTCGCGACTTGTGCGGCCGGCTCGTGATCTTGCAGTGTCCATATGCTATTGCCAACTCCCCAGTAATATTCAGCGAGATTGTAGTGGTTCACTTGTTGTTGTTCATGAGCCCCATAATTAAACTTTTCATTCAGGCACTCTGATAAGGTTGAGCAGTCACCATTATCTTTTGTTGCAATAGATGGTTCGTTGATGGTGTTCTGGCTGGTCATCTCCTTTTAATCTTGTAATCTAATCTAATTTATTTAAAAGACCGGAATGAGAACGTGTAAGTACAGTTATTAGTACATTCTCGATTTCTCCTAAGAATGTCATTAGCATTAAAAATATAGCAATATTTTTACATGCATAGAAAGCTAAAGGGGAAAAAAATCTTTTAAATTTGAGGTCACGACTCTTAGTTTTTGAAACGATTTCAAATACGGAAGTCTGTAACTATTAACTAGCGAATTATGTATAATAAAAATTTTCATAAAATATTGAGATACTCTATAGATTACATTAATTTATATAAGAATAAATTAATCAAATTAATTTATTTACCTAGCGAACGATTAGGTCGATAACTTGAGTTCTTTGACCACGAACGTTTCTTACTCCAAACTAGTTTAGAACGCCCGAATCTTCCTTGCCAATTCCTTGAATCTATGAAGACGTGTGTATAGACACACCTAAAACAAAACAGAATTAGCAAATAAACACTCAAAGTTTTCACGAACACCAGCACATACACGACGTGGAATTAGGGAGAAAAATTTTCCTTTCCACACACTCGATAATTCGGCCACTATATGCTAAGGAGAGCAAAAATTTTGTTCTCTAATTTTCTGCAATCTCCTATTTATAGAGTAGCAGTCAGACTTTCAGAAGAAGTCTAATCTTTATCTCTAAGATAAAGCTTGATAATTATCTCCCACTTCTAATTTGATTTTGAAACAAAATCCACTCTCCATTATCCATATGTTGGCTAGCCACCACAGAGAGATTCCTCCATGTAGTAGGCGTATATTGCATGTAAAGAATATAACAAAATTTTGCATTTATCCTGCAGTTTAATTTTGACTCAAATTCAAATTTCAATTTAAATTAAACTTAAATCAATTTGAATTTCAAATTGGACACTTATCGAATAAATCAATTGGATAACTTTGAGAGTAAGCAACTAAATCCCAAAAAAATTCAGATTGTGCTGGGCGTTCACACCTTCACATGTGTATTCCAAAATTCAAATTTAAATTTAAATAATCTCATTATTTAATAATAATTCATTCTCAATTAATTATTCTTGAGTGTTTTATTTTAAAATTTCATAATTCTAAAATTTTTATTTTGCCCTTAGTGTCTTATAGGATTACGAGGATGACGTGAGGACTCATGGACCTATAATTCTAAGCTCCAATAAAATTAATAATTAATTAAACATTTTAATTGATTAATTAATTCTATTAATTCTAAAAGTTACTTCACTATAAATTTAGAATTGCACTATCGTAATTATAGACGCAAATTACTTCTAAACTGTGAAGTGTCCATTTAATATAGACATTACATTTAGATCAATCCTATATAAATAATTCATAATTAGAGCTAGGTGAAATCCGTTAACCTCTCTAATTACATCTTTATCCTTGAGTAACATTGATTCTCTAATGGACAGTGATTCATAAAATAAATTCATGAATCAAAGCTTCTATTAGTCTAAGTGCCGAATCAACCCTCAACGGAATTATTTATCTACTTATTTTTTAAGAAGGAATTGATTCCATCTCGTATAATAACATTCTCGGCTACTCACTTCATCATGTCTTCAAAATACAAGAAATAGGATTCAGGATCTCATAATCTATACCAAGTAAATTAAAAGATAAAAATCCATAAATATGAGTCTACTAATAACTCAGGACTAAGATTATTCTATATATGACCATCGGTAGACTCAATTAGAATTTCTATACTTAATGGAAATGATCAGAAATTCATATTATGTTTGTGTCGCTATTTCACATAATCTCATTATGCGTAATACACTCATTTAATATCTTGTCATATTAACAGTGCGGATAACACCATTCTATTCTAAATGGGAATGACATGTGTTAGTAATGTTTTAATTAAAGATTGCGAACTTTAATTACATTCATTACAAACATCATTTTGATTATTATCCTTAAATATGATCCTCTTACATGTAACACTTATATACAATATTTAAAGTCACATAAATAATTATGGATATTCATAAAATATTTATTAATATATGCACATAAAATAATAAATAAACTCTTTTATTAAATAAATAATAAATATCATATTATATCTCATATTTATAGGATACTATTCTTAATAATGACGTACCTTGATTCTTGATGTCAACTTGCTTTGTGAGTCTTGTGAAAAATTTAACTTGGCTTGAGCTAAGATTTCTCTCTTCGAAAAATTAGATCTAATTATGCAGGTTAGACTTGGGGGTATATGCATTTATTTATAGGTGAGAATAGTAATGTTCGAATTTACTTATAATTCGAATAGTCTCGAGAATATGTGTCCTAACTCGACTCTGTATCTTAGAAGTTAAACAACAAAACATTTCTAATAATAATCAGATAAAAAACATTTTAATAATAAACATTAATCTATATGCATAATTCTTATTAGACACCACTGGGAAATTTAGGTGAAGAGCCGTTTTTTTCCCACAATTTTTAATAAATGCTGAACTTTTTATTTTTTAAACAAATGGTCATTTTTTTAAAATTTTTTTAGGGAAATGGGTGTTATTCTATAATAATTAATCATTGATAAATCATGATCAATCATGATAAGTTAATTAATCATTAATTTTTGAATAATTTATCATTGATAAATCAACAATTTATTGATTGAAATTTATTATTAATTACTAATTAAAATTAGTAAACCATTAACTAATTTGAGTAATCAGTAGTAAATCATTAAGTTAAATCAATAATGTAGTTTTTATAAATGACCCTCTGCTAAAAATAGGCCCCAAAGACTATCATTTACTCCCAAATCCCCCAAACTTTATGTTATCTACAAGATGATACCAAGGTGCTGTTGGACTTTAATCAAGTCCAGGAAAGGATGAGCAAGTGGGCTGGTTCCGGGACCCAAGAGGAGAAAGGCCTGGAAGGCACTCAGGAGGAAACGACAAGAGGGGAAGGTCGTTTAGCATCTGAGGTTAACAAGGGAGCCAAAGGAAAATTGGAGAATGCTGGAGAGGGTTCAACTGCTTCGCGTGAGGTCAGGAAGCGAGTGAGGCCACGCTAGTTGTGGGATATTGTGATGGCTGAGCAACGTTGAAGAGGCGCAAGATTCCCCTTGCTCCATAATCGTTTTTCATTATTCCAATTTTGTTATTTTGTTATTTCCCATTTCTGAGAAATTCGGTGCGAAGAAAATATATAAGGCCGAGGGTTGTAATCTGGGCAATGTTGAATGAAGTAAATTTCCTTTTGTGGAGTTGGGCATTGACTCGAAGAGTGCGATTCATAATAGTTTTCCTAACATTGGTGCTTTCATTGAGAGAAAATGAGGAACGAGGAAATTGTAGAGCTGATGAAGGCCATGGAAGCAAGCTTCAAACAGCATGCTGAAGAACAACTTTCGAAGTTTTCTTCGCTTTTGGAGCAGCATATGGCGAGTACAGATCAGCAATTGTCTCAGCTCTCTTAGTCGCGACGGGATCCGACTTCAATGGCAGAGGTCACGGCGGGTCCTAATGGAACAGTAGCAGAATCAAGCCACGCTGGTGGACATCGAAATGAACAGGAGGTTCATTCGGTTGACATGACGGCACTTCTGAAGACTCTAAGGGTAGATGTACCGCGTTTTGATGGAACGAATGTGGAGAATTGGATCTACAGGATCAATAAGTTTTTCAGTCTGCATCAAGTCGAGCCAGCCACACGTCTGGCGGTGGTGGCGTTTCACTTGGACGGCGAGCCTTCAATGTGGTACCAGTGGATGGAGAAGGGCGGAGCTCTAACGAGTTGGGAAGTGTTCCTCCATGAACTATGCAAGAGATTCAGGGCTTCAATCTACGATGATCCGCTCGGGAGAATCGCAAGGCTCGTACAGACTGTGAAGGTGTCTCAGTATCGAGCATAATTTGAGAATCTGATGACCCATATTACAGGTGTATCCGAAGCTATGTTTCTCAATTTCTTCATTTGGGGCTTAAAAAAGGAAATCCGTCGCGAAATTCTGATGGCAAGACCCTTTGATCTGGTTGATGCTATGGCTAAGGCCCAATTGTTTGAGGACAGGAATGAGGATCTTTTGGGTCGCCAACGAAGGGAAGGTTACCGGCTGCTGGACACACCGGCTCGGGGAAGTCAGGTGGGATTTTCAATCGTGCCCAATCCAAACACCCAGGGAGTTACAGGGGGCACAACGACGTCACGGCCAGGAACTCAACCAGTTGGGGGGTCCAAAATTCCAGTCAAGCGCTTATCTTAGGCGGAGTTACAGGACAAAAGGGAAAAGGGATTGTGTTTCACTTGTGATGAAAAGTATCACAGCAATCACAAGTGCAGAAACATGGTGTTACTTATGTGTGGAGACGAAGAGGGAGCTGAAGAACAGGAGGATATAGAACTGGAGTAGGAAAAACCCACAGAAGAGGAGGAAATCGAAGTGAGTCTCAATACCCTTTCTAATTCCGTGAATCTTGGTATATTTCGGATAAGGGCTAAGCATGGCAAGGAGAGTTTGGAAGTACTCATTAATATTGGCAGTAATAACAACTTTATCCAAGAGGCGCTAGTGGAGAAGTTAGGCCTCAAGTGGGAAAAGACTCGGCGGTTCAAGGTATACATGGGGAATGGGCAGCACTTGGTGTGCCAAAAGAAATGTACAGGGGTGGGGCTGGAGATGCAAGGGAACCAATTTGAGGTGGACCTATATGTGCTTCCCATCTGGGGTTTAGACATTATCCTGGGAATGCAGTAGTTACGGACGCTCGGGCCGTGTCTTCATGATCACAGTGCACTCATCATGGACTTTCAGTGGAAAGGCAAATCAGTTAAGTTGGCAGGAAACACTAAAGTGGTAGCGTAACAGGTCACTTTCTCACAGCTCAGCGCCTTGATCTTGGAAGGGGAACCCACGGGAATTTATAGGTTGACCACCACTTCTAGTTTGAAGGAGAAGACCAGAAAATCAGGGGTTGATGAGGTGGAGCAACTGGAGAAGTCTTTGCCGATAGTGGGAAAAGGAATCTTGAAACAATTTC